TACATGTTGTATATGGTGCTGCAGGTGAGAAAAATAAGCTGTTTTCTTTTTGTAACCTAATTTATGTTTTCGTTCTGGTGCTAATTCTATATCAGCTGCTTCAATAAGTGGTAATTGTGTATTATCATGTACAAGACTTACGATCCCAACGTCTTCACAATGACAAAACATGCATGTTATATTCGATGATATTCAAATATACACTTACTATCTCTGACATAAGGCACATATTGATGATTGTGTACATAAAGACCTAGTTTGAGATTACCATCAGCACCATTTTTGTTTCCATAACGTATACTGTCATTATTACTATATTTCAATTTTGCATTGAATGTATAGCATAAACCATAAGTTGATGATATAAATGGAAGAAAATCTGTTTCTAAACACCGTACAACATTGAACGAACATGTAGAAAACATTGAAGAAAATGGATAGAACAATGGTTTCAATGATTCATTTCTATTAATTTTATCTATTAGAAAATCTCTAATATAGTGTGCTTGAAATGGTGACAATGTTGTTGTATCGTTCGAATCAGTTAAATTTCGTGTTTTAATATAGTTGAAAAATGGCTCCTTGAATTTATCAAAACGAAGTGGTGAAGCATTGCAAAGACTAAATGCTGGAAAATACTGTGGCCATTCACTGACATAGCTTGCATCGATTTGTGTTGGATATTTCAAATAAGCTACAATTGCTTGCACAATAAAATAGATCATAATCAAAGTAAAGTAAATGAATGAAATCGATCAAAAGAGTCGATTATATATACTTTCACTTCGAGCAATACCAGATAGAGCATGAGTAGATGTATTCAAACAAAATTCACGTATAATCGAACGGCGACAATGTTGTTTTGTTTCATCTTGCATTACAGCTGAATATTCTTGAAATGCTAACGAATCACTTGTCTAAAACAATCTTATATATTTTTCAAATTGTTAATAATTGATTTGTTTTATCAATAATAACACTTTTTCATTACTAAAAAGCGATGATTGGTGATCTCAAAGTCAAAAATCTTTCATATCATAAATAACAAATCAAATGTAGAAGTTATAACACTGGATTTAATTCAAACTATGGCTACGGATCATTCATTTTTTTTTCAAAGTAAACTAAGATTTGAAAAGTTGAACTAGAAAGACATCTTGAAATTTTATTATTTAGTTTTTTACGTTGTCTTCAATATATGATTATAATATACTACTTTGAAATAAAAAATCTGTTAGGAGAACACAAAGACATTTAGCATAGGATCGAAGGCAGACTATGTTATCATATGAACTTTATCTATAACTTATAAGGTATATACATAGCAGTCCAGCATAAATTTCTAAATTCATTATGGAAGCATTTTCCAAGAGAACAATAGTTTATTAATGAAATTAATTCGTGTCAAAATGAAAATTTTGTACAAGAAGTGGAAACATTACTAATGATCAAAAGTGTCTAACATAAGCAATATAAATAGCTTTATCGCTTGAGGTATAATCGCTAGTGAATAATTAATTGACTATTTAAATAGAATAATAGAAAACAAATAATACACTTACTTCGCTTATATTTCAAGTATTCAAAAACAAAAGGTTTTAAATGAACTTTATATTAACAGAAAGAAAAATAGATAGAAACATTTTGTTGACGTCGTTCATAAACTGTGTTTCTTATTGTTGAATTGAGCAAATAGTAATTGTTCAAATGTTTACTCAAAGAAAATAAGAGAAATAGTAAGTGGATGTAAATGAATTTTTTTCTCATATTTCGTAATTCATTACTAGGAATGGCATGTTAACTTTTCTGTGAAAGTTAAAGTAGAAATGTATGTTCTTTTCATCCACACCTACGCCCTCTTAGTATTTTCCTTAGAATTCTCATTCATTCTTTTTTGCTAAGACTTGCTGCATTGTTGTCTAAGTTTCAAAGAATAAATTCATCTTGAAATTCTACTTATCCACCGATACAAGCATTTGTTTCCATATCTTCAATTATTGCTTCATATTTTTGCCTAAATCCTTGTTCACTAAAACTGACCGTGCAAAACACTATCATTATTTCTTAAATTTAATCATTATTTGAAGAAAACAATTCCTTATTCTTTCGTATGTAATCATTTGAAAGTATAACTTCATTAGATGAATAATATTTTGTTTATCTAAATCAATTACAAATACACAAAAAAAAAATCTTCATTAATATTTTAACTTTTGCAGGGTAAGCGAAAAATATCAAGTGAAGAAAAGGAAGAACAAACAGAGAAAGTAAAACATTGAAAAATAAAACGTCGAATAATTTTTAAGATGTCAGAAACCAAACTATGTTGCTTTTTCGTGATTGACGATTTTTTGACTAGTAAACTTTATATTTTGCGTAAAAAGCTTATCAAGAACGAAAACAACGCACAGGACTACTGATTTTATTTAAATAATGAAGTGTATGGCATGTTCTCACCCTTCTTTTTCTATAACGAACTTCGTCCTTGAGACAAAAAAAATAAGAAATAAAAAATAATCATTTAAGCTAGAGAAACACACATAAGTATATTGAAATGAAGGTATAAGATTCATCACATTACATAGAAAAAGGAAAAAAATTGTATACAGTAATAGGACAAGATTTATATATATTAAGTTACAGTGATGAAAATAAAGATAGCTTATCAGTTTACAATAATAGTGCACTCAGAAACACAAAATATAAGTTAACAAATTCAAGGAAACGGATCTATATTGAACGCAGTATTAATTTATATTGATATTCTTTTTCTCATAAATAGATCATTTCAAACTAAACGAACATCAATGAAATCTTTATTGATCATGACTCTGCATAGTTTTTATCAATGATTTATCTATGAAAAATTTTCTTTTATCATTGACAATAAATAGTAACGACTTGTTTTTCATAATTCATTCAAAATATTAACTTTAATTATTCAAAAAAAATCACAAAAATCAATTTAAATTGCGAATTTTTCCATGTTTTCTTTATAAAATTCTCGACTAATAAATAATGAAAACAATCAATGTAACTATTTGTATTTAAGACAATTTATTCTCTCTATGTAGATAGTTTCATTATTTTAATTGATTTACGAAATTTTTACGAATATATTTTCAATGGAAAAAAAAACCTTTTGATTTTTTTTACATGAAATATTTTTCTTATTGAAAAATCCAATTAATTGTTTGTTAAATTATTTATTTATCTATCTTCTAAATTCTATGAATAAACTGATACAGTTTTTATGTGTTTATATATATATATAAGAATTGTCATCATTTAATTAATAGTTGAAATAAATGACAAAAAAAATTGCCAGTAAATACAGTCACTTCTTTTTATGTATATAATATTGTTTTCAATATATAATAATTATACTCGATAATTATTATCAAAATTGCTACTATTGAGAATATTAACAAAAAGAAAAATAATACTTCACTCATATTAATATAAGTAGAATGATTCATTTTGAAAGATTCGTTTAATAATTCTCGTAGCCTCTAAATAAAAAGAGATTAAGTTAAATAAATAATTTTCCATATAAATAATTATTTCGAGAAAAAAATCATTCGATGATATTAAGCCGATATAAAATAAAGAAGAAATATACTCTTATGATCGATTTTTATGGTAAAATTGTATAATCATTTTTTTTTTCGATATTGAAATATGTGTTTTCAATTTATTACTTTCGAAATATATTCGAAATGTAATGTTATTGCTGATGAATATAAACCATGTGTTTTATATTCAAATATTCCAACTGATGATGTTTCTATTTGTTACTTCTATTTTTTAATAGGAACATAGAATAATAAAAATTTTTGTTATTTGTGCCACAACATAAGACACTATGGAAATGAATCACTATCAAGTTTTCTTTATGCAATATTAAATTTTTTTTTGTTACTGGTCTTTCAAACGTGTTAATGAACTCAACAAATCATACAATTGAAAGTTTAAATAATCTTCACATTTAATGGTCAGTGATAGACAAACAAGTGCTGACTTGACTGTTCGAACTTTGGGTGTGTAAAAAATTTTTTTCAACAGTGGTGTAGTTTAGAAAAAAAACAGCTGTTCGATTGGTTATTCCGTATTTTTTCTGCATATATAATACGGTTCGAGCAATATGATCTTTTAAGAAATCCATATATTAGAAAACAAAAGTGGAACGACAGAAATATTCTTTGTCTGTCCGTTTTTTTTGGAAAAATTGAATCTTCATCAATAGAACTTAGTGTATTAATTAAGAATTTTCACTGTCACGCTTATTCAAAAACATCAGTCTTTAAACGTGAAAAATAACATATTGATAAAACTTAAAATCAGAATTTATAGTCAATCATGATTATATAGTGGATATTATTTGGCGAAATGAAGAAATTTTAATTTTATTCTATAGTTAGTACGAGAGAAGCTTCATTTAATCCTATATTTTTTGGAAAAGAATCGGCAGATCCCTACTGTATTTTTATTTTTCGACCATTTAAATGGAAAAAATAATATAAATTTTCCACTGATTGTGTGTGTTACATCCCTGACACCTCTTTCCACGGTTGAGCCACCACTGTTCACACTTTTGATTCTTAAGATATTATTTTATCAAAAATTGCTGATTTCTGCAATGAATACAGTTCATTATGAAAAAATAAACAACCAGCTTTATGCAAGTATTTTTTTTTTTATTGAAAAAATATGTAAGGAGAGTTACATGTTACATAAAGGAAAATATGTATGAAAATTTTCTGGACGAACATATGAACCATATATAATAAGAATTCGCAAACGAGCACAAGTAAGACGTGTTGCATCATTGGTAAAATTGTATGTTATCATTACTAATGATTCATATGTTATTCTAAGTTCTAACAAACAAGGCAGATGAATTTTAGTATCATTCAGAAATTGATCAGCATAATCAACATTTACACTTCGAAGAATCAAACAATGAAGATAAGGAAATGTGATAATTGGGCATAATTGTTGTTTTCTTTTTTGTGGTTGATAATTCCATATAGTTAGTTTTTGAAGAAAAGGAAAACAATTCGAGACGATTTGAAAAAATTCTTGTTCAAAAGGATGTTTTCTATCAGTCATCATCACCATTCGAACTTTATTAAATATTCCACCTTGAAAATGACAATTCATATTGTAAAACCTATCAAATTGATATGGAAGTGAATAGATATGGCATGTACTTCTTTGTTCTATTGATTCTTTGTGAGTATATGAAGCAATTTGTTGATATTCTCTTTCGATAAAACTACGTTGAATATCATTGTTTGATGGAAGATTAATTCGAATATTCTTATTGATAACAAGAGTATTTATACTGAAAATAAATTTTTTTAATTGTGGCATATGAATAAGAATTTCATTGTATAAATGATTTCCATCAATATAAGTCGATTCAATTCTTTGTATCGATAGATATAATGTTAATTCTTCAAGATTTGACATTCGACATATTAATGGAACAACTAGACTATCATAAAATTGTGTTCGACAATAAGTTATTAAAGATAAACATTTGAGTTTGGGAAGTTGTCTCTATAAAGAAAAAAAAGGATATATTTTTGATATAATGTTTATGCATATACAATTATTAAATATATTCTTACTGTATTATCAATATTTGATAATGGAGAAGAAATTGTTTCAATATAAATGATCAATGTTGATAAAGAATCAAAACGTCCATCAAGAAAATAAAGACAATCATCAAAATGATTAACATCAATATTCAATTTGGTAAGTGTTGAACAAACACAACTTGTTGATGGCAAATTATACATTGAAATCAGTGAATTTCCACTACAAAACCATTGACTATAAGTCAAATCAGTTAGACGTTTGCTTCTAGACAATATTAATGCAAATAAATTTGATTCATTTTCATCTCGTACTGTTGGTTTTTTATCAATCATCTTAATATTAACATGTGTGATTTGATTAGTGAGAAGACAACGAAGTTTTGTATCATCTTCAATGTACACAAATGTTTTCTTGATTAAACAAATGAAAATACAAAAAACAAAAAACTTATACCTCGTAAATATGGTAAAAGTGTATCTGATTCAAAATTGATTAATGATAATGAATAAAGTTGAGGATAGACAACAGCACCAAGTATATCTTCCATAGAATATTGATTAACAGTGAGTTTCTTTATTTTATTATTAATTCGAGGCAAAATTTCTTTACAAATTCTTGAAAGAACTTGTTTCTCTATTGAAAAGTTATCATTAAGCAATGCTTTAACCGTTAAATCTAGATGATTAGTGTAGAAAGGATCGAGTACTAGTCGATCAAATCGTTGATTTACATCCACCAATGAATAAAGTACATCGATCATATTCAATTTTTTGATGATATTAAGTAGAATTTCATCGGGCAAATCAAGTATATTCATTCGATTTACGTCAATGATCAACATAACTTGAGATAATTATCCATAGGATTTAATATTTAGTCATCTATATATATATATATAATGCGTTCATTTTTTCACTGTCGTCGGTGAGGACAATGAAGAAAAAATGTACACATTATCATGTTGAACAACAATATTATTTTTCTATCTGGCTAACATTTTCCTTCATTTAGCTCAAAATAGACAGAAAAGTAAATTAACATTAAAATTCACTTTTCTGTCTATGTTAGGATCTTATACTACTATGCTTAGAATAAGATCGAATAAATCAATTGACCATTGAAAATTCATATAAATATATAAGAAAATTTATTTTTCATCGGAGGTTATCATTGATTGATTTTGATAAACTCAAAAATAAAAAAATGTAACAATGTAAAAAAAAAAGGCATTTATAAATAATGTCCAACTATAATTTGCTAACCAACTTGTTAAAGAAAAATGAAATGAACAACAACAAAAAGAAAATAAAAATTAGACGTTTCATCTCTATATTGATCATGTAACATTATTTAAGGTGATATTTTCAAAACTTTTAAGATATCTATGGTGAAATATCATATAAATTCAGTGTTTGAGAAATAATTTACTTTGTTTTCGTTGGTAGATTTTCAATTTGTGTCAAGTTTCAATTAACTTGTTAAGTTGTTGTTTCCTTTAGTAATTGAAGATAATATGGTGGATGTTATTCATTATTGATCGATTGAACAAAACTTTCTGGTATCGTTTTCATTCAAATTCATATAAAAATAAATGTTTATTTTAAAAGAACATAAATTCTAACCCCCCCCCCCCCCCCCCTTGATCACTCCCCATCTTACAAGACCCCCTCATAATAGAAGACCCCTTTTGAAAAAAATTTTTTTCCCCCTAAAAAAGAACCCCCCCCCCCCCCATTTATTTAAGATTTTTTTTTTTTGAGAACTGAAGATTTTCATGTTTTTTACCCTAAAACGTATCTATTCCTGGAGTTTTTAGCTGAAAATTTTCAAACTGATGAGTTCAAATCTATATTTAAGATTCAAAAATCGTGAAAATCTTGTCTCCAATTTTCAAAATCGCTTCAGTTCTCTCAGAGTACCTTTTTAGTTACAAAAACTTATCAGTGTAGCCGCTGTAGAGCTGAAGTGTAATACTCATGAGACACAGACTGCTACAAATTTATATTATATTCTCAAAAACGGATGGAAAAGTTTATTTTCAAAAGATATCAAATAAATGGATAGATTACAACTAATTCTATCGTTTGAATTAAAGTATACGCTCTAAAACTTTATCCCAACGAAACTATTTCATTTCGAACTAATACCTCTCCCTTCGCTCCATTTATCAGATTTCCTGAATCTATTTATAATATTAATACAACCGACGCAGAATGTTAAGTTTCTAAAGAAACATCGATCATAATGATTAATTTATAGCAGTTTCTATTCGTACATTTCAAACATTTTTTTTTTCTAATGCATGCTTTTTTTTTCTTGTTACTATTCGCTGTATTATTCTTCTGTTAATCGAGATTATTATTATTTCGTATTATTCGATTCAAGCTTTAATTTAATAATTAAATAAGCTTAGTATAAACATCAGTTGTATCTTCGTCAGATTCTAACAATCTTGTATGCATATTAATGTACTAAGTAAGACACAAAATAAATATTTCTAAAAGTTAGAAAGTAGTTTGATCACGCTTTTATGTAACTTATACTATCGTTATGAAAAATCACAAAAGATTATCTTTCACATGAATCGTATAAACTTTTTATCTGCGTAAAAAAAGGAGGCTAGCTTTTTGCGAATGCTCATAAAAATATTCGAACTATTGGAAAGCGAAAGATTCTAGAAATTTCCACAACCTTTTAAATATAAGTGATTGTTACGACATGTAATGGAGAAGAGGGAACAAGCTGAAAAACCTTGACTCAAACTTACGGTCACTATTAGTTTGTTCAGAAATATATGTGAGCTATACAAAGCTTAAAAACGTAATAATTAGAGCAGAAGTACAAAAAGTTGTTATTTCAGAAAAGATTAGATTTGTCTTGTAAAAAAAGAACTTGTCAACTCAGAAAAAATCAATTTTGTTTTGTGAAGAAAAACTTGTTATTTCAGAAAACGATATGATTGTTTAAACTAATAAATTATTAGAAAGAAGAAAAGTGTCATCTACGTAGTACAGTTAAAAAGTAATGACCACTAAATACTTATAGGTTGCAAAAAAACTGAAAACCTCCCAATAATGAGCACCTCTGTAAAGTGGGCACTTTTAACGGGTCCCGATGGTGCCCACATTAGAGAGGTTTTACTGTAGATGGTTTTTTAGTTTTTTCCAGTATGTATATACGTAATCAGTTAGGGTTTTTTCTCGAGCTAGTATTAAAGTGATATGATCATCCTATCTCCATAAGGAATACACAGCTCTAAGATCTGATATGTAAACGTGTTCAAGTATTTCCTTCTGTTTTTTAGTAAAAACGAACCATAAAATAAAAGTTTATATGAAATTAGGGAGGACGAAAGTAAGAAATAGTAAACATCTTAATTTGATATCGCTTCTTGGGATATTGTGATAGATTTTCGAAAGTCCACAGTATATGTTTCTTATTTTTGATATACGTGTTTGTGGGTAAATACCCCAACCTAATTTGTTTCTTATTTTAACTCCTAAGTATTTAAACATAGGTACAAATTCAAGCTTCCTATTTTCAAAAAAATACATTGGGGTATGAAGGAGCAACAGCGTTATGAAATAACATTACTTTTATTTTGTTCAAATTCACTGGTAATAAAATATCTTTGTAGTACTTCTCTAGTGCTAACATAGCTATTTCTGTATATTCCTCTAGTTGCTTTATATTTTCTGACAGCCTTTTTTCGATAGAACCTTTTATTAGGATTGCAAGATCGTCAGCAAATAAATTTATATTGAAACGCATAAACATTTTTGGTAGAAAGTGCAAGTGCAATCTAAACAGTGTTGCTAATAAAACTGAACCCTGAGGTGCTCCTACATTAATACTTATATTTCTGGATATGGCTTCACCATACTGTATATTCATTGAACGTCTCTGCAACCACTCGTATGTGAATCTTACTAGATTAAGTGGCATATCTAAATCTAACATATTCGAGATGAGAACTGGATGCCACAACTTGTCGAAGGTAGTTTTAAAGTTTACAAAGATTCCTAGTGCAGAGCGATTTGGTATTGCTATCGTCAATCGCATGTCTTCACAGGTTGTGAGGATTTGGGTTTGCAGACGTCGGTTCGGGGCGAAGGCTGATTGTTCATCTATGTAGATACCTTTGAATTCGCATCACTTGAGTATTTTTGTATGTATATATCCTTCGAAAAGTTTGCTCAAGTTGGATAGTGATGAGATGGATCTCAATTCATATATATCATTAGGAATGTCTTTATGTGATTTATCGACAATTAATTATGAAACATTGGAATATTTAACAAATATTATTAAAACATTTACAAAAATATATTGATGTTAATGATAGAAAATTATCTAATTTTTTTAAAATATAATTTAATTAAAAAAATCTTATGAAAGAGTTTGGAAATTACTTGTAAAACAAATTGAAGAAAAATCTTCATTACAACAACCAGAATATAATCATAAATTACTTCAAGTAAAATTTCTTTTTTTTTTCTTTTTGTTTTAGCGTCATCAAATAATCAATACGAAATATTTAATTAATTATCAACAACGTTTAATTATTGGAAAATATCGTCGAGTTTATGTTCTATTTTAGTTTCTTTTCTTTGTTTTTTTTTTTTTTTTTTATTTCATTTAATAAATCAACAAAATATAGGGACGATTCATTAAATGTTTTTATCTTTAATGACAAATTTTAAAAAAAGAAACAAGACTTTTCTAATTGTAGATTTAACAATGGCTCTTTATTAGAGTACTATTGATATTCATCTTACAAAACTTGTTGGTTAGTTATTTTATTAAGTTTTTTTTTTAATGATAAATTCGATTATTTTATAGATTGGTTAGTTGATCGTCGTTATTGTTCAAAAGATTGGAATGAACGATCAGGGGTTATTAGAGCGAATATTCAACAAGCTATTTTAGATATACCTCAACATGATCAAATAAAAATATTACTTGCTTCTTTATCTATTAATAGAATTTTCATATTATTTTTATAAATTATATTTTTATAATTTAGAATTATTTTTCTTGTTGACAAATTGTTGAAATATTAAAATAAAGAGAAAAAGAAAGTAAAAATATGTTTAGCATGTATTCATCAGAACGAATCAAGGTTTATTAATCAAATGTCACACTTTCATATTAATATATTTATTTAGGATTGGTGAACGATTGTTTCAAACTATGAAAAGAATTCTGTATCTTAGTTTGTTTTTACCAAGGAAAAAAATTAAACTTCTTTGTTAATTTCTAGTTGAATCCACTCAAATTCTTCAACAAAATCTTGCATATGAAATTCCTGTATTAAAAAAAAGAAATTCGTAAATGTCAACAAATTCGATCAGAATGTCATACATGTCATGCAGAAATAGATAAAAATATTCATTACATTGAAAACTAATATGCACAATTATGTATTGATATGTTACTTAAAGTTAGTATCATATTTAATGCATTTCTAACTTTTTATTTAATATCATGTGATGATATTCAACGAGAATTCATTCAACCTATTGAATATTTACCAAATATATGCACAGAATTAGCGAATGGAGATAAAAGTTCAATTCTATCATTAAAATTCACTATTGAGTTTTATACAGAGTTTATGAAAGATTTTCATTCATCTTCGAAATCTGATAACGAACAATTTTTACTTTTAATTAATTATTTAATTGAAAATAGAAATACAATAGTATATTAATGGCAAACTACTGGTCATGTGCCTGTTAGTGTTGAATGACCAGCATTAAATTATAGATTTGTAGAAGCAGAAATTAATGACGAAGAAGCAAATAATATTCGGGATTTAGATAATGATATAACAACATCAACTGAACGAATTCAAGTTAAATAACTAGCAAAACAAAGTGATGCTATTGATTTTGATACGATATAAATCTATTCTCAGGTTTTCTATTCTTCATACTCTTATGTATTTCGAAAGAAGAAATTGATTGATATGCTATTGATATACAAACAGAATAACTTAATTCAACTCTTTTCTCAAATGATATTTATTTTAATTCAATTCCTAATGCTCTTAGAGAAGCTGCTCTTAATGAATAAACTAATCCAAGTATTTGATTTTTTATTTTCTTCAATTTTTTTTTCTCTTCAACTAGTTGATGATGGTATTATTTGTGGAAAGGATATATTAACATAATTAGAAAATTGTTCAATATATAGATTATTTATTTATGAACTTTATCATTTTGTTTTGAAGAAAAAATAGAACTATTTTTAAAGTTTATTTTTTTAATTCTGATTAACACCTTTTCAATTGGAATCGCCATCTAACAGATCGTCGAGCTAATATGTAGAAAAACGAATTAAAAACTAAATAACAAAATTCAATAGAATTATCTTGTCTGCTCGAACTAATTCTTCATTCAAGATAACATTTGATGTGTGTGCATCTTTGACTTCTCGAATTCTAGCATATAGAAAATAAAAAAAAATATTGAAAAAAAGAATTCAATACTATGTCTACTGTTTATTTTCAACTTCATATCGACGAATATCTTCACGCAATTGATTGCGTTCATCTTTAATTATATCATAATCAATTTGTTGAACAACTTTTTCATTTAATTCATGATGCTTTCTCTCTTAAAATTGAACATAAAAATCAATCAATCAAATTCATAAAAGAATATAGTTACTTAATGTATTATAACGTTTTTCAAGATCACCATATTTATTATTAATATTAACTAGTATATTTTGAATTTTAAATACATCTTCCTGAATAGCATTACATGATTGAATAGATACAGTACCAATTTGAGATTGCTACAATCAAAACGAATATTAATGAAAAAGAACATAGAAATATCTTACATTCGTTGAACAAGTACAACTTTCATCCAGGATTAATGAATGATTGTTATTATTTCGTGAACCATTTGAATCTACATTAAAAAAAACAAAGCAATTTCCATTAAATTTTTTGTTTTCGATAATACAAATCTGTAAACCTACCACTAATCAATGGATCTACACATTTTCTTTTAGCAGCTGTTGTTTTTTATGATTCTTTATCTACAGAACCATAGACAATACAAATAAAATTGTAAAACAAAAAAAAAAATCTTACCATCTTGTAAGCAAGCATCAACATTTAATTGATATGCATCATTTGCTACTGTTTTAATCATATGTAACTTAAATAGAGTTGCTAATCGTTTAAATTGAGTATTATTAAAAGCCGATAAATGAAAAGAACGAAAATATTTCATCACGTGCAATAAAAAATAACAAGTAATGCCGTCTAAAAAAAATTAACAACTTAACGAATAAATATATTGTTGTTCTTACTTTAAAAAGAAGAACATCATTGCCGTGAACTAATTCATTTAAATTCCATTCCATAATGGAACAAGTTGATTGTTCTATTCAATATCAAAACAAAAGATCTTGAAGAAAAATAGATTATTCAAAATACTTGAAAGATATTGAAGAATAAATTCAAATTTATCTTCAGTACTATCAGTTAATGCTGGAATACTAATATCAGCTTCTGGAAATTGTCGTGCTTCACTAAATAATTCAATAATCATTAAACAATAGAGAAAAAATACGTATATACTCATACACTGCAGAAATAATTTCGATAAAGTGATTAGCATTCTGAAGCTCATTAATTGATGTAACTGGTTGAAGTGATGCACCGATTAAAGAATTAATCTAAATTCAAGGTTTAATATATCAATAAATTTATTACATTTAGTACTTACAGCAAAAAGAATAAGTTCCTCGTTTACCATCTTTACAAACTAACGCAAAGAAAAGAAATGAACGAAGAAAGAAAACATGAATCACTTCAGATTTTCTAGACAAAGAATATTGATAATCAATTAAATTATATTCTCAAAAGTTATTTTCTTTAAAATTCAAAATTTATTTTTATCAAACAAAGATCATCAATCTCGCTAAAACTTTATTTATCTAAAAGTTTATTTTTCTAAAATTCTATTATACGTGACACGACACTCAATTCTCTTTTATTTGTCTTGGAAATTGGAACGTTCCTTTGCTTTGCTTGATTTAAATAGGAATTGTATGACGAGAAACATCTCGAGCAGTTTCCAAACGTTCTTCATAATCTTATCCATTTATCAATCGAATAACTGATTTATTTGTTCAAAATTTTTCTCAATTTATTCATCATCATATTATTGAAATAAAAGCGAAACTGTTCTACCATTATGTAGTAAGAGAAATTAACTCGAACAAATATTTAAATTAAGTTCATAATAACAATCCTTCTCTTATTGAATGTTTTATTTAATTATTGTAATTGATTCTATTAAATGATTAGCTATACAAGAAATCTTGTCTTAATATAATATTCAAAGAAAAACTATAAATAATTATCAAAGTAATAATCTTTAAATCGTACTTCTAACAATTGTAAATGAAAAAAAAATTACTTAGGTCATTCCAAAAGTAGTGGCGGAGGTATATCAATTCCTTATAGAAAGCTCGGCGAAACTTTTTTCCTATACAGTCTAATAGAGAAAAGAAAGATCTATTTTTCTATGCTATTTGATCATACTTTAACTAATGTCATGATAATAAATTTTTGATAAGATTTTTTTCGTTAACATGTTTGCTCGTTGTAAGTTGCATATCGCAGTTTTCAATTCCTTATTAGTTGTATTAACAACCAAAATATGCCATAAGATGCAGCGTGAAAAGCTCTAAAATTTTCATAAGACCACTTATTTTCTAGTTGCACATTTTGTTCTTAAAATAGACTAAATTTTGAGCGATCAAATTTCGATCATGGAAAAAGATAATGTTTTTTGATACACGACGAATGCATTTCTTGTTATCTGATCATTATATCACCTGATATGCTTTATCAAAAGAAAAACAAAATACACCAGAAGATGCAGTATGAAAAGCTCTACAATCTACATCATAAAGTTTATTGTAATTGTTTTGAAAAAAAATGAAAATTCTACGCGATCAGTTTTTACAATGGCCAAAGTTCGATCACTCAAAACTTTGTCCATTTTGAAAACAAAAAGTGCAACTAATAAATAAGTGGTCTTATGAAAATTGTAGAGCTTTTCACGCTGCATCTTATGGCATATTTTGATTGTTAATACAATATATTAGTGGACTACAAAACTAACCCGTCTGATTCATTGTGAGCTAGTACAACGAGCAAACATGTTAACGAAAAAAATCTTATCAAAAATTTATTATCATGACATTAGTTAAAGTATGATCAAATAGCATAGAAAAATAGATCTTTCTTTTCTCTATTAGACTGTATAGGAAAAAAGTTTCGCCGAGCTTTCTATAAGGAATTGATATACCTCCGCCACTACTTTTGGAATGACCTAAGTATAAAAACAATGGTAAAGTATGTCTAAAACATTGTAATTGAACAAGCCAAAACCAAAAAATTTCTATTCTACTTTCAGATGGAAATCGATGTGAATAATCCTCGTGGTGGATCACGACGACGCCATAGTCAACTACGTTTACTTGAAAAACAAATTCGTTCTGAAATATTCGAACGATGTCTACAATTTATTGATGTTATTATTAATCAAATTATTTATCAAGAAAATATTTATCCTTCAAGTTTGTTGAAATTCAAAACTAAAACAAATAAAATTAATTTTGTATTTTTTTTTTAAGATTTGTTTATTTCTTGTCAAATGTATAAGACACTTGTATATAAATGTATTGATAATGATATATCATCATATATAATATTATGTGCTGCATCATTAAGAGATTTATTTTCTCAACAATTATCTGATATGATTTCAATAAATATCATTCGAAATTTTCAAATTCCAATTATTCTTCGAAGATATTTAATTGAATTACATACTATTCATGATCCATGTTTACGAGCTATTTATGATAATAGAAAACAATTAATTAATCAAATTGATCAAGCATTTGCTCATTGTATTCAAACAATTAAACAAATAAAACCATTGGAAAATCATAATTTTAATAAACAATGGACATTTCAATTTAAGGTTATTTTATTATATTTACAGATTTTCTTTAAAAATTTTTATTTTAACAGATTATGTTCTAATGAAAAAAATAATAAAGGTATAACTATAGGAGAAATTCTTCGTAAACAACCAATTTATAAAGAATTTCTATTAATAAATCAACAATCCGATTTATTATCTAATGGTAAACAATCAATCATATCAAATATTAAATCATTATATACTGAAAGGAATAAAATTACAATATATGTGTAAAGATGATAAATATGAACAAGAAAAATTTCAACAATCAAATAATTATTTATTAAATAATATATCTATTGATCAACAAGATACTAATTTGAAACTGATTCTGATATCGATGATCATCAGGTACACTTATCTATTCATCATTAATATCAACTAACATTCTTTATACTACTGATCTTTGACTCTCCTCAAATCTGCGAGTTATAGTCTATTTATTAGTCAAAAGTACCCTGTACGAGAGAAAGGATTTCATAATAAGGATACGAGCTAACATGTCTAGATAGTTTTTAAGTTGTAGCAGGGCCCAGTTTTTGAATTTTCCTTCCTGTGTCTCTTTAAAATTCTTGAATTCATGACCAAAACGAAAGATCTACAGTTTTTATTTTAGCAAAAGAGAAATTCAAAAATTCGGTTCTGTGATGACCTTGTCTTACCTGTCTACTATACAATGGACAAAAAAATTATCATTTTCTTAACAAATCATTATGAAGAAGAATCTGCCCGCGTAAATGGTATGCTCGAGAAAAACAGAAAAAAATTTTAAAGCCTTTTTTTCAATATGGATGTTCAGAATAACTTATTTAATATCTTTAAAGCTTATCATAAAATCAATTAACTGAAGTACATTCAAGAGTAGACATTTGACTCTATTCAATGAGTTATTAATCACAAAAATTGACTTTGTCTGAGGGAAGAGTAGTCCTGAAAGAATATCAAGCTACTGGATCGGCCTCTAGACAGTCTTTCATAACACAAACTATTTGAAAATTCGAAGAATTCTTTTTATTTTATTTTGACATAGAATACTTTCGATTAAAATTATTTGAGAATAGATGATTGATGAGTAATCAATAGACTTTGGATGAATAAAATAAATTTTTTGCTAATGTAATTCTCTTTTTTAGGACTATTCGAAAGAAACAAACGTGTCTTCTTCAGTTAGCAAAAAATCAAATGAATCAGAACTTTGGCTATTAACGACAACGAATAATCCTCCAATATGTACAATAGATGATCAAGATATGAAATCAAGTGATATTGAAGAAAAATCAAAGGATAAAAACCGACAAAATAAGAATAAAGGAACGATAATTAATGCTGATTTATTTATTGATCATTATCATTTAACACAAAGAACTGATCGAGAAAATTTCGATGCTCTTCAATATTCATCTGAAGATGAAGATCAACCTCAATCACCTTATTCTCCTGATAATGTTTGGCAAGAAGAAGATAATGATGAGGATGAAGATTTATGATTAAATTTCTTTTTTTTTTTTTTGTCAAAGATAGTAATCAAAATGAATTAATAAACAATTTTTTTTATTAAAGAAATCATAATCAAGAACTTAAAAAAACTACTCTTGTTATTATAACTTATTATTTAAATTTAAGTAATCATTAGTAGAGATGGTACATTACTATTACCAATAATAAGTAATAATTAGTGGGGTTATTACATATTACCGGTAATAAACAATAATTTTGTAAGGTAATAAGGAAATAATAGTAATAAGGAAATAATAGTAATAAAGTAATACACAAATAAGATATTACAATCACTTCTAATCATCAAATAAATTTTCATTTTTCCTGATAAATCGGTCTAAATATTTATAGATTATTGGTAGGAGAAGTATAGTTTTTGGTCATGGAGAACAAATTTGGTTGAAATAATGCTTCAACAAAATGCAGAAAGTTAACTTAGTTGGATAATGAGATCTTGTTTATATGAACGGAGAAAACACTCATCTTTTTGTCTTCTTATTCATGCAATTACTATTATTAATATCCTTGAATCATCCCAGTGTATACTAGGATTATATTTTTCAAATTTCAAAAATATGAAAGTTTATAGTATAAGTTGAATCATTCAATAACAAAGGATCGATGCTTTATTTTATTCGCTCTCTGTAGTATGAGATCCTTTTGTTAAAAATGTGTCGTGTAGAATGCGATTATACGTGTTGCTCTCTTTCTACAGCCATATCTACACCGACACTCAACACGGACAATCATATTCCACAGCACACATCTCTCGGACACTTAATCCACATCCATGCCCTTTATTGAGAAAAAAAAAGAATTTATATCAAAAAAAGAGAAAGGAAAAAGCAATGATATTGTTCTTTCCTAGAGGATGAATAATGAAAAAATGTCCCTATGTCTATAAAAAAAGAGCGAACGTAGAAGATGAGTCGATATTTTGACGAAAGACGAAATAGAAGAGTAGATAGAAAATAAAAGAGATAAAGAAGAAAAAACGACATGAAATAATTATGGGTGTATACGATTGAGGAATAATCTTTAATTGTTTATTATGTAATAATTCTAAATCTATTTGATTTTCATGTATTTCACGTAATAAACAACTGATTAAGAAATTGAATTGATTCTTATCTATTTCAAATTGAAAATTCGATTATAATTGGAAATTTTATTCGATCATGTAATATTTCATCGGTTTTTGCATTGATTTATTAAGAAGAATCAGTTTTAATTTGATTTTGTGACATGTTTTGAAATGGAAAAATGCAGCACTTGTATAAGTGATTATTCATTGTCCGAAGTTTACTTCTTTTTGTATCTTTCCGTGTCCTTTCGTTCTTTTTTTTTTGTTTAAGGTTGGCCCTCCCTCAGAAAACCCCATTTTTCGAAGAAAAGTCAAAGTCGAGTTTTTATAATAGGAAGATGCACCAAAGTCTCATCTTTCAGAATATCTGTGGTTTTTCGCAAAACGAATAGGATTTGACGGACCTACCATCTGAAACTTAGGTCCTATTATCAAATTTTTTGAGAAATTTTCTCCATTTTTTTCAAGTTTTTAGGGTATTTTTCTCTTTGTATTAACATTGAGTAGAGTTCTTTTTATATCAATCACTACGAAACTACTAATACCTAAGATAAAGATCACAGATTTACAGCTTGTCCTGAGCACTGATATATAATTCAAGTGAGTTTCGCAAAAATCAATTTCTAAAACTTATTTAATGTTTTTCTCAAAATTAGTTTTTTCGACAGAACTGTTTACGCGGGCAAGGTTTTTTTAATAATGACTCAATAGAGAAGTGATCATTTTTTTTTAATGGATAGCAGACAGATAGGACTAGATTATCACAGGATCCGATTTTTGAATTTCTCTTTTAGTGAAATAAAAAACTTAGATATTTCATTTTTGTTAGCAATTGTCTTAGGCATAATTTCGTGAATTTTACGAAAAAGGTTTTTTAAAAAACAAACAAAGGGAAATTCAAAAATCGGGCCCTGTGAGGATCTAGTCCTAAGGGTATTCTACAACTTGAAAACTGTCCGGGCTTGTTAGCTCATATCCTTATTGTGAAATCCTTGCCCGCGTAAAGCGTAATGAATTGACTAGAACTTGTGCATTTCTTTGAGATTTGGGAGAGATATTTTAACCATAAGCTATTCTAGTCAAGACTAACATTCTCTGAAATTTTGGTTGAAATTGGATGAAAAATAACAAAGTTCCTTTCTGAGGAGGGGCCCCCTTAAATAAATATGTCAAAAATAGAAATGACTAAACACATATTTCATAAAAAACAAATAAAAATATAACCTATAGGAAAGTTTTTGTTTTTTAAATACATTCAATCTTAATAATCAGAAAATAGTAAAAATAAAAATTCAAGTTCAATACCAATGGTACTCGAAAATCTAACAACGTTTATATTACTGCTCGAGAAAATAACTATTTGCTTATATGTAACATAATCTTCTATTATTTTATATTCAAATAATGCATTTTTTCATAAAAATATTAATTTTCAGTCCTTGAAAAAAAGACTGATGGGAGAAAAGGAAACTACTACACTGAACACGTCTTTTTAGAAAGCCATTAGTTGAGAAAGCATGTATATTTTTTTCAAAAGAAAAACTGTTAGAATAAAGTTTTTCAAATAGAGCGATAGAACAAGAGCTCTGCGATTTGTTCTGTAGGTCTTTCTACTTTCTTTAGAAAAAACATAATGTCTTCTAAGATGATAGAAACTTGGCTATTTTTAGGCCTAGAATTTTTTTAGATTCTTAAAGAACTAGAATAATTCTTTTTAAACCAAAACCTCGACCATCAGCCAAAGCATACTCAACATTATTGAGATTACACAAATTATCACTTCTATTTTGTTTACTGAATGTTCACATTGTTATCCACTGTGTTCTATTGAAAAATGTTCTTCAAAAAAAACTAAACTTCAAAATCTTGCAGAAAGTTGTGCGAAAAAAATGAAAATATTCATAGTAGGTATCTGGACGTTTGGAAATGTTTGATCTCCTCCTCTTCTTTACCTGGACGCCCTTCATGGATGTCCCCTAATATTGACGTAAATAAACACAAAAGTGTGTTCTGATCTCTTTATACAATTGGTTTTACAGTTTTTATTTATGTATCCTATCAGCTGGTTTTGATCATGGATAAGCAATTGAATTAAATAAACAACATTTTGGTGTTCTTGCTGATACTGATAGTCAGAATAAATAAAGATAGATGAATAAAACTTCTTTGATCACGTGCAATTGTCTTGAAATTAGATATAACTCAACAAGAAGATTTTGATAACATTTATGAAATGATTAATATTAAAACAAAAATTCTTCGTGTATTAGCTAATAATGCTCGTATTTGCAATGACAACAAAAAAAGATTTTACCATTACTTATTAATAAAAGAGATCCACGTATTGTTACTATTTGTTCCATTGCTAATTATTTAATTGCATCAGATATGTTTTCATATTCAGCACCAACATATGTATTGGAAACATTTTCGTAATGTCTTCATCATGAAACGGCTGTATGAGATTGATATAGTAATATGATTGAACCAGATTTTTTGAAGACATCTATTATTGAAGAACATGATAAAATCATAAAATACACTATGGAATAGATCAACAAATGATGTGAAAGATCGTTGACGTAAAGAACATCTTATTAAATAAATGGATGAAATTTTATCTAATATTTTTATAAAACATGATGAAAATTCAAAGAAATTTGTTTAATGTTTATATTTTCGAGATGTTCAGTTTGATTTGCTGAAAACAAATAGAAATATTGCTATTTCTGTTGGTATACATCATCAATTAAAAGATTAAACTTAATTAGTGTATTTTATTCGATTATCTATCATTGATTGAATCGACAGCAAAGAGAACTTTTTTTTCGTTTTAAATATATGCAAAAAAAAAGTCATATTTGTTTTATATTTAAATAATTTAATATTGATAAATCAATTATTTCTTTGAGCGACATCGCTTATCATTCATATTTGATTTGTCAATTATGTTTGTCCAATCAAGCAAACATAATCATTTTCTCTCTCTCTCTCTCTCTCTCTCTCGTGTTCAACAACTGTTGTTATTTGATGAGGGAAAAAAAATCATCTATATTGATTTTAAACAAAAAATGACTGATCTTTTTCTTCGATCTCGGATCGAATATTATTAAAATCTCGACGAACTTATTCACAACGTAATGTATCTTCACTTCCATTTGAATTAACAAAAAAATCGTAAAATGATTAATGTCAAAACATCAAAAACAACAACTATACTTAATCGAATATTTAGTTTTAAATTATTACCCGTAACAAGATTTTATTCATGAATATTAAAACAAAAAACTATTCATATAAATTTTTCATTTTTATTTTATTCTAGTTCATCATTAACTAATATAGATAATATACCAATGAAAAAAAACATTTCTTATGAATTCAATAGATCTAATATAAATTCATTATCAAAAGAAATAATTGAAGAAACTCCTTATCTTCGTTCTAATATTCTATGTAAGATTTTATAACTTTGTCAAAATGAATTACTTTTCAAAATATATTTTCAACTAGAAGAGTTCTTTTTTTTTCTATGATATATTTGTTTTTAATGCTTCCTCATTTTTTACCATAAGAAAAGCAGTAAGCGTAATCCGTGCGGAATAAAAATATGAAATATAATGTATCTTCTCTTGTTAATCACAGGGGGATTGTCTTATTCGTTCTATTTTAGGACACATTTCTTCATCATCTTTTTACTTAATCGTCCAGAAACTTAATAAGGAAGTAGTTCATATAGTATAATAAAACGTTATTGATATCCGGTCTTTGATCGTATATTGAAAAGATCTGTCATCGTTTGTATCGAAGAGAAGGACATTGCTAAGGCGTCTGTGACTTATTGATAAGATATTCTCTGAGAAAGTTTTATTTGCGACATATATTAGTCAATAGAGCTCAAAACTCTGAAAAATAGATGTTTGAAAAATGTGGTCAAATGTAGCTCGGTTGCATAGTTTGAACCTACTAGAGCCATCAGGCATTTTCCATAACTTCATTGAACGTCATTTTTCCGAATATTTATTTGTTTGAGTTTGTGACTCAGACTATAGTCCATTAGACTTAGAATCTCAAGCTCTATCGACTGGCACAAATGCTAAGTGAAACAGCATTCAGAAGGTATTTTACTAATACTTCTTTTAGATCACGTTTCACAAAATACCTACTATTAATAAGTGCATGGTATCCGCATGAAGATCAGAATTAGCATAGCTAGTTCTGTCTCATGTCTGAATAGCTTCCACTCATTTACATAAATGTTTCAAGTGATTTGTTTGTCTTCAACGGTTTACTGTAGTACGTATCTGTTGGTTTTTGTAAGACGTGTTAATTTAAGAAGATTAATGCAGAAGGCCGTTGTCATACGGTTAGATATTCTAATGTCCCTACCAGAGTGAGTTTTATTTTTTAGAGATTAAACATTCTTTTTAATAAATCCATATGAGCTCTCTCAAAAATTGACAAGAATAAAATTATTATCTCATCTAGAGTGCCTATTTATCCTATGTGAAGCTAGACATCGTTCAATCTATTATGACCCGAGCTGAGTCGGACTACAGTCTGTACACTTTGTAAAAATACTCTGTTATTAAAGACAAATATGATTTTCATTTTTAAAAAAAGAAGTTCTATTTTATTTAAATCATTTTCTTTTAAGTACATAATATTTCCATTTATGATAATTAATCAATCAAATCGACAACTGTTCACCTATCTCAAGCAGTCAATCGTGTATCTCGTTATAATGGTATTTTAAGACATTTTGTAAGTGAAGCACAGAAATATTTACCTAAATCCAATGACATACAACTCACATCAAAATCTGTTCTATCACTACAATCACATGAAAGTATATTTTTCAAATATAAATATCAATGACGAAATATAATACTATATTTTTTTAAGAAGTTCGACATCGTCTTTTTGTTGAGTCTCCCAAACAAGATACAACTAGTTCTATCTCCAAAAATCAACCACGAATAACAACTCGCAAAACCAGGGGTGTTATAAAACAATTATTTACTTCTCCTTCATCATCATCATCTAACATTAACTTTATAATTAATGATAAATGTCAAATACTTTTCTAGTCTTATTGTTTTTTTTTCTCTTATTTATTTTCTCTTATATTGTCAGATATATCAAATTATCTTATTTTATAGATGACTTATGGGTATACGTTATCGAGCAGTATATGGCTCGTTATTAGTCATTTTTTTCATTGTATGGATTTTATTAGCAAATTATCCAATAAATCAATCAAATCCTCGAATATATATAGTTAAACCAGCAGCAAAACATTTTGATTATATATTAGAACCTGGAGATGATATATGTTCAACAGATGAATCATTACTTTTAATTGTTTATGTTCATTCAGCTATAGAAAATCGTCATCGTCGAGAATCAATTCGTTCAACATGGGGATCACGTTCAATATTTGGAAAACATATACGTGTTCTATTTATGCTTGGTTCAAGTCATAATAAAGAATTAATGAAACAAGCACAATTTGAATTTGATACATATCGTGATATTGTTCAACAAACATTTATTGATACATATCGAAATTTAACATATAAAGGTATAATGGCACTTAATTGGATTTTACATCATTGTAATCAAGTATCATATATATTAAAAACCGATGATGATATGTTAATAAATATGTTTTCTGTTCTAAATCATCTTTATACTTTAACATATGTCTATCCAACTGAAGCATGGCATTCTACGATAGCTTGTCTTGTATGGACACGAATGCGTGTTACACGAGATCCATCATCAAAATGGTTTGTTTCATCTGATGAATATCCATATGAACATTTTGAGCCTTATTGTTCGGGTTCTGCATATTTTATAACTCAAGATTTAATTCGACCACTTTTTGAAGCAATTCAACATGTACCTTTCTTTTGGATTGATGATTATTATATAACTGGTATTCTACCACAAGCAATTCGATCATCTATTTATGTTAAGTATTTATTTATTAATTCTCTATTTGTTATTAATATTGATCTAGTCGAACAACGTTTTCTTTCACCATTTGGTCTTTCTTCACTTGCTTTTGGTCATATGCCATTATCAGTCAATCGTCTTTTACATGTTTGGCAACATCTCGTGACAAATAGTCATTCAGCATATAAATATCTTAATCGAACATTTCACTAGTCATTTATATTTTTTATTGTTTTGTTTTTCTTTTGTCAATCAATGTCTTCCATATTTTTATTCTTTTAGATAAAAATGATTTGATTCGAAATTCGTCCATCGCTTGCTATTACTGCACCTCCACTTTTTCTTGTTGCTGCATCGACACTCTATATAGGCAATTGATATTTTCTTAACGGAAAAGTTGGTTTTCTTTATTATTATTTACGAATTATTGTATTGTAAAAACTTATGTTTCAATTAGAAATATGGCTCGAAGAATATGACTAAAGATGTTCGAGCTTATTATATGTATTTACAAGATCGACATCTCATAGGAAATGAATATTATCCTTGTGAAGGTATTCTATTTCAAGAAAAAAAAAACAATAACAAATTACATTAAAATTTTTTTCATTTCAAGGATGCCGAAGAAATCGATGAGAGTCTCACGTTAATCAAACTCCGAAATCTTTGGAACATGTAGAAATATTAACAAATATGCTTTGTTTATTATCACCTTTTTTTTGTGAGATATCTTAAATAAATAGATTCCAGCTTTTTTTTTGAACGATTTCTATACCATGGGGAGGAAAATTATTTTTTATAAAATAAAAACTTATAAAAATTTTTGAAATAATGTTTTCTAGCTCTTTGAATATCATCCTCAAATCGTTTGATCATTTCAATGCAAAAAGTTTTATATACATTTTTTTAAAAAATTTTCATAACAATATCGTGAGTTTTGTACTTTTTATTATTTTGTATTATGTAATAGTCAAATAACGGTTTATTTCATCACAAAATGGAATATTTATAATAAATATTTTCATTTTTTTTTAAATTTTTGATTTGTTTATTTTAATTTTAATGGAAATATCTACATAGAAAAGTAACAGAAAAAAAACAATCACAAAAATGGACTAATTAGGTCTGAAGTTATGGACTCGAGTATGAGTAAGGATCATTACTACTTAACCTCTTACTCACATGCTAAAATACCGACAAGTAACATTTGGACGATGTCCTTCTAGTAATTCTATGCTTCGATCTTAATGTACGATTTTTGAAAACCTGTATCTTTGGAAAATGTTGTTTTTCGATGCTAAATCATCGTTATATCGCATAGCTTTTCTGTCATACATTTGCGTCAGAATATCACTTTTCTGCTAAGCAACAAAACCTTCATTAAGAACAAAATGGAACGTCATTTTTTTGCCATTAGTAGCAAGATCCATCGACTCTTAGGTGGTTTGTCAATTTTCTTGGTTTTCGCAAAGTTAAATTTTCAATAAGACGAATGATTACGACAATCGTGTTGCATATTCACCCTTAGATATATGCAATTGGTGATGTGACAACCAATCGCCAATAGGAATTTCCAGTGAAAGGTTAAGAACTCTCTTTAGGATACAAAAACATGATCTCTTTTCTCACTCATTTATCAAAATCTCACGCTGTTTCTACCCTGAGATCATAAACTATACAACACATATGCATTGCGTAGCGTCGTGGTACATATAAAAAGTTATAGATTTGTAGTGAATATTCATTCATTCCACATCTTTTGCTTTAACTAGAACTGGTATAATCCTTTTTGAATGATTATTTTTCGATAACATAGAACTCTATATGCCTCACAATATTTACTTTCATTGTTTTCGATTAAGTTCTCCCTGAGTTATGATGTTAGAAGAAAGTCAAAAAAACTTATATGTTCGATCGACTAAAAGATTCTCCATGCATAATCTATGATCCATTATCGGCTATTTTTTTAATACTTGACAATGAATTTTCTTCTCTCATTGTGCTTATTCATAATGCAAAAGAAAAAAAAATGCTTATTGTATTATTATTTGTTTTTTCTTTCGTACTGCACGTACAATTAAAAAGTATTGATAACAAATCAGTCGATAAAGCATTTCGAATACTTCCATTATTGAACGAAAACTAATACCGATCCATAAACTAGTTTGACCTCCGATATTTGAAAGGATATCTACCACACCGAATATTGCTGTTTGTGTATTATTTTCAACTATATTTGTCTCGCGTACAACATTAACAGCAAGATAATTCTCCTGAATATGTTCACGCCATGTAGTTGTCCAATTGTTAGGTAATGGAATCGTTGAATTTTCAACAAATCCCTTAATCTCATACATTTGTCATTCGACTGGTGTAGCCAGAGAAGATGTTTGAATAATAAAATTTGTTATTAAACATTGTTGTGAACAATCAGAACAATATGTATTCATAAGTATTGAGGAAGCTAAAAGTGTATCGACTGCTTCAGTATAATAGGTATTGCTTGCATTGCATAGAGGCACTAAAATAATTTTGTCCGTTCCTGATAAAATAACTGAACGAGTACTCCAAAGATTAGGATTAACACAACCACACTGTTTATGTATATAATAATAGAATGAAATATGATGTTATGACTAAATATATCACATTATTCTCTCTCAATATATTTACGCATAGACTTGTCCACAAATTTGATAACAGATTGTTTCGGAATAGCCAATAATCAGCACCATGATAATTATTAAACATGACATGCATCAAAAGAGGAATCTTGTTAGTACATGTTGTATATGGTGCTGCAGGTGAGAAAAATAAGCTGTTTTCTTTTTGTAACCTAATTTATGTTTTCGTTCTGGTGCTAATTCTATATCAGCTGCTTCAATAAGTGGTAATTATGTATTATCATGTACAAGACTTACGATCCCAACGTCTTCACAAAGACAAAACATACATGTTATATTCGATGATATTCAAATATACACTTACTATCTCTGACATAAGGCACATATTGATGATTGTGTACATAAAGACCTAGTTTGAGATTACCATCACCACCATTTTTGTTTCCATAACGTATACTATCATTATGGCTATATTTCAATTTTGCATTGAATGTATAGCATAAACCACAAGTTGATGATATAAATGGAAGAAAATCTGTTTCTAAACACCGTACAACATTGAACGAACATGTAGAAAGTATACAAGAAAGTGGATAGAACAATGGTTTCAATGATTCATTTCTATTAATTTTATCTATTAGAAAATCTCTAATATAGTGTGCTTGAAATGGTGACAATGTTGTTGTATCGTTCGAATCAGTTAAATTTCGTGTTTTAATATAGTTGAAAAATGGCTCCTTGAATTTATCAAAACGAAGTGGTGAAGCATTGCAAAGACTAAATGCTGGAAAATACTGTGGCCATTCACTGACATAGCTTACATCGATTTGTGTTGGATATTTCAAATAAGCTACAATTGCTTGCACAATAAAATAGATCATAATCAAAGTAAAGTAAATGAATGAAATCGATCAAAAGAGTCGATTATGTATACTTTCACTTCGAGCAATACCAGGTAGAGCATGAGTAGATGTATTCAAACAAAATTCACGTATAATCGAACGGCGACAATGTTGTTTTGTTTCATCTTGCATTACAGCTGAATATTCTTGAAATGCTAACGAATCACTTGTCTAAAACAATCTTATATATTTTTCAAATTGTTAATAATTGATTTGTTTTGTCAATAATAACACTTTTTCATTACTAAAAAGCAATGATTGGTGATCTCAAAGTCAAAAATCTTTCATGTCATAAATAACAAATCAAATGTAGAAGTTATAACACTGGATTAAATTCAAACTATGGCTACGGATAATTCATTTTTTGTTTTCAAAGTAAACTAAGATTTGAAAAGTTGAACTAGAAAGACATCTTAAAATTTTATTATTTAGTTTTTTACGTTGTCTTCAATATATGAATATACTATACTACTTTGAAATAAAAATCTGTTAGGGGAACACAAAGATATTTAGCATAGGATCGAAGGTAGACTATTTTATCATATGAACTCTATCCATAACTTATAAGGTATATACATAGCAGTCCAGCATAAATTTCTAAATTCATTATGGAAACATTTTCCAAGAGAACAATAGTTTATTAATGAAATTAATCCGTGTCAAAATGAAAATTTTAATTGACTATTTAAATAGAATGATAGAAAACAAATAATACACTTACTTCGCTTATACTTCAAGTATTCAAAAACAAGAGGTTTTTAATGAACTTTATTTTAACAGAAAGAAAAATAGAGAGAAACATTTTGTTGACGTTGTTCATAAACTGATTTTTTTGTTGAGTTAAGCAAATGGTCATTATTGTTCAAATGTTTGCTCAAAGAAAATAAGAGAAATAGTAAGTGGATGTAAATGAATTTTTTTCTCATATTTCGTAATTCATTACTAGGAATGGCATGTTAACTTTTCTGTGAAAGCTAAAGTAGAAATGTATGTTCTTCTCATCCACACCTATGCCCTCTTAGTATTTTCCTTAGAATTCTCATTCATTATTTTTTGCTAAGACTTGCTGCATTGTTGTCTAAGTTTCAAATAATAAATTCATCTTGAAATTCTACTTGTCCACCGATACAAGCATTTGTTTCCATATCTTCAATTATTGCTTCATATTTTTGCCTAAATCCTTGTTCACTAAAACTAACCATGCAAAACACTATCATTATTTCTTAAATTCAATCATTATTTGAAGAAAACAATTCCTTATTCTTTCGTATGTAATCATTTGAAAGTATAACTTCAATAGATGAATAATATTTTGTTTATCTAAATCAATTACAAATGTACAAAAAAAAAAATCTCCATTAATATTTTAACTTTTGTAGGGTAAGCGAAAAATATCAAGTGAAGAAAAGGAAGAACAAACAGAGAAAGTAAAACATTGAAAAGTAAAATGTCGAATAGTTTTTAAGATGTCAGAAACCAAACTATGTTGCTTTTTTGGTGATTGACAACTTTTTGACTAGTAAACTTTATATTTTGTGTGAAAAATTTATCAAGAACGAAAACAACGCACAGGACTACTACGAGAGGAAGAAGGAACAGACTTCCTTTCCGCCAAATAATCAACAACATCAGCTCAGAACATAATGTGAAAAGTTCTTTAAAGGACTTCAAAAATAACTTGGAAGTTGTTATTTTTCGATGATTCGGATTGAAACTGCGTTAAAAACGAAGAAAAAGTATAATTCATACATTAGTCGATTCTCATGCGATTCGAATCATACAAGAAATCGGCGATTAAATAGTGATATACTGATCATATAAACTGAAGAATTTAATGTCAGCTAACCGACAATATTTACCGATCACCACCGGTTTCTCAGATTTATACGCTCGTTTTGTTCTTTTCTACCCTAACGATCTCTATTGCTGTGTATTGATAAGTGTACCTTCTTACTAGTTTTCAACTATATCTTATTCATCTCTTATGTACTTTGCATAAACGACATACAAAAAATGTTAAACAAACAATTTCAAAATAAGATAAAACAGAAAACTGACCTATCACTATGTTCAAATGATTCTTGTGATGCATTTCAGTTTTGTATAGATCTTATAATGCTATCTGTAATGGATAAAAGTGCACTCTTTTTTTCAATTAAAGGTGTGGACCTAGGTTACGGTGAGGTTGGAGTTTTCTTTCAGCCCACTCTCACACACCAATACCAACGCAAACCTAAGCCATACCTACATCAACACCCGTACATACTATAGCCACATCTACATTTATGCCCTTAATCATCGTTCTCCATGACATACATGGCTCGATTGTAATCGACATGTTTTTTCTTCTCATGTGTAGCTTCTTACAAACACTATTCCACGTGTCTCGAAAAAGGTAGTAAGCTGAGCTTCCTCCTATCTGTATTTTTTTCTGTTTACACCGCTACCTCGATCGACATCTGAAGACGGCATGGGCCAACTTGAGTCGGTTGCACCTTCTGATTCACACATGAGTGAAGTCAGGGATCACACAGAACTGCTCTTGGCGTATTTTCATGATCAACTATATAGTATACCATGTTAGTAGTCATGATTTAAGGGTTCTCACAAACGAATGATAAGACCGTATCTACTAGAGTATCAATAAGTTAGTATGTTTGGAAAGAGTAATAGATCATCATGTAGAAGAAAGAAGAATGATGAATGTTCTACAAAAAACACAGAGCCATTTGCAGGATAGAATAATTCACTTTTTTTCTAGATTTCATTCATGTGTATAGATTAAAAAACATAAATAAAATTAGTTAAATGAGCATCGCTTCTGAACTTTTGTCTGTATCCCACCAGAGCATATATTCAATTTGTTTGACTAGAATTCAAGTGAAGAATGAACCAAACACAATTTGTGAATATAAGCTTGAACATATATTGAACGAATCTTCGTCCAATTGTCTATGTTGCAAGTGATACTCAAAATCATATACGGCACACTGCTACAGCTTCTTTTGCATCTATACTCGTTTGTTTTATCGCGGTTTATATTTTTTATTTTCAGTTTTTGATTCAGTTGACGAATACTAATAGATGGTATATTTGAGATGTTTACAATCTTACAGTTGTTCTTCCGTCTTTATATATTTGTTGGTTTTCCTGTCCTAGAAAGAGGAATCCATAGGAAGTAACACATCTATATATAGGAAAGAACTCATCTCTATATGGAAAATAACCTATTCATACATGGGAAGAAAAGCCATCGTTGTACACAAATAAGATCATCCCAAAAGGGTCAACATAGAGGAATAAGCGGATCTTTGCCTTTTCTTCTGTCAAACTACATAATATTGGATAAACAAAGAAAGAAGAATTGAATTAGGGTGTGGGTGTGGGGTATGATTGACAAGAGGACCAGATCCACATCCACATCCTATACCAGTATCAATATTTCACTTAATGATTTTCGATCCCTCGTTAGTAACTTTGAACTTTTTTATAATTTCTCTTGACTTTAAATATTATTTTAAAGATTTTGATGATTTGTATTAATCATTGACATCCATAAAAAAAATTACTAAATCATAATGATAATGAGACCAGTGACAACGGTATATTATAGAAAAAAAATTTATTTCGTAAAGCAAAAACTAGAAATTAAAATATAAAATTAAGGACAAAGAGGTACTGATCGACGAATAATAAGTTGACTGTCAATGGAAAATGAGAGACGGTCATTTAGTTTGAGTGAACCGTAATGTTCTCCGTGCTTGTATGTAAGAGGAACGGAATCGTTGCTATTCTGTGCACGTACAAAAATTTCATACACTTTATTGTCAATTGTCAAATCTATTGTAGTTCCTTGATATTTTAGACCATGAAAAATGAGTTTTGTAACTTGATTTGGTAGATGACCACGAGGTTTAAATTCAAGTTGATCTAATCTTAGACGAATACCACCATAACCAAAAAGAATAGCTTGCAAGAAACCTCCAGCACCTGTTATAAAATTAACTGCACCAACACCTGATTTAGCTTCAGTCCATACCTATGACAGAACAGAAAGTCAATAGACGTCAATATTAATATTACAAAAATTGACTAACTAACATTGAATGGAGGTCGAACATAAGTTTCATAAGAACGTCGAAAAAGTTGTTCAGCTTTGTCAAAATCACCTAATTCAATAAAGCCAATCGAATGCATTGACCAAGTCATAGCCGGACCATCATCACGAGTTAAAGGTTCATAGACTAATAAATCATTTCGTCTTACTTGATCAGTCATTGGCCACATGATTGGAAATCCAAGAAGAACAACGTCTGCTTGTTTAATAGTCGTATTCTCTTAAATAAATAGATCAAAATGATTTTTCGCATAAACAATATCATCAAATCTATTTACTTAAATCAAAACCTTCATATTCAAGATGAGTTTGAGTCAAATTATCGAATGGAAAATGTAAGGTCGATGCAATATCAAGCCAAGATTGAGGCGTTTTTTTATTAGTAATACAACTAACACTATCAGCCAATAGAATAGAAAGCGAAGCAACTGCATTCGTAAAGACAGAATTATTTTTGAATGGTTGAGCATCTTCATCTGGTGGCAAGACAGCTAAAATAAAGAAATCCATATGTATGAATTTATATGACAATATTAGTAATTGTTGAAAACATGAAATATTTTCATTTCAATAAAGAAAAAGACTTACTTAATATTTCATATTGTTGTTTCTCATTATTGTATACAGCTCTCGAACCCCAAAATCGAGCTGTCTCATAGATAAGTTCTCCGCCAAGTTCATTCAATAGCCAATCTCGATTGCCGGTAGCTGCAATATATTGTCTAGCTGCAAATGCAATATCTCCTGTAATATGCATTTGATAGAGACGAACTTCAGGACAACAATCTGGTGTCACATCAACACCAGTTCTAGCACTTTCCCAAGGAAATCTAATTGATTAAAGTGACTTATTAGCAAAAAAGAAACAACAAATACATGAAATGCATCAGATACCTCCATCCTTCATAACCAAATAGACGAGCATTATCAACTGCAGAATCACGTAGAGCGATTCGGTATGATAATATTTCTTTAGCCAATCTAAGAAAAAAGAATCCATCAATCAACATAGATATTGTTTATTGTAACATCCAATATAATCCTCATTGATATCTACAATTCCTTCTATCACATGTTTTCAACAGTTTATAACGAGAATTTTGTGATCTACCTAATTTCGTTTTCTCATTAGTTACACTTCATTGTACACTTAGCTTTGTTACTCATACTCATCTAATTAACTTTTTTTGATCGTATACATTATTACTTCACTAGTAAACTTCTGCTCTTCTTCAGCTATTCACATTATTCTTGTTCTCTCTGTCTTTTCTTGCTGATTATCATCTTCTCCTCTTGTTCTTCATTTAATAAAACACATCAGTGAATCTTCATTCGTCTTCAAGTTAATTTCTCATCACTTTATCACGCGTTACCTCATAGTGGTATCTAGGATCGCATCCTATTGTGTCTCGCTTCCTTCGTTCTCTCTCTTTACCTCGACGTTCTTTATAAATGATCCTTTATTCACTTACGTAGGATAAAAAAGAAGAACTGATGGAAACATCCATGTTTCTGTATCCCAAAATGAATGACCACCATAATCTTCACCCAAAAGACCACCTCTTGAAAGACTACCAGGACTTAGACCATAGAATTGTTTATGTTCACTTCGTGTAGATAATGGTGGAAGAGAACTCAGAATATAATAAAAAGCAGAATTGATTTGTTTTTGTAATTCATCATTTCCAGTCACTTCAACATATCCATTTGACCAAATATCATTCCATCTTGATACATGTGATAATAATATTTCATGTGGTTGTCGTTCATTGGTTGCTATTGAAAATCATTATATGTTGTTTTTATTTTACTCAAACAAGTTTATAGTTTACTTACCATAATCAAAACTTTGTTTAGCTCTTGATTTTATTTCATCAATTGAAGTAACAAAAAGATATGTTCGATTTGTTTCTTCACTATCAAGTTCTAATCCTTCTGCAGGCAATGGTGTATAATAAACAAATACAGATAATAGTTCTTTTTGAAATTGACTATTTTCTACTTGACGTGTTTTTCCAGATAAAAGACTTTTATATAAGAAAAATAAATTACAATTAAAATAGAATAAATATTACTTACACATGT